TTTGAGCATGATATCATACAGTGCTTACATGGTAAGATGACTAAAACATGATGGTGCACCCTGTACTCCCATTGACATACAACAATAGACTTCATATCCATAGCCTTCTGTGTAAAAACAAAGGTAAGGTTGACTCTCTCCTTCTATTGGAATGTCATAGAATCCTGCTGCAAAGTCAAGGACACAAATATATCTGTGCCCTGCTGTAGAAATACAACATAGAGTAGGGCTATACAAAGATGGCTCCAAACTGATATCTTTATGTCGTGGTTTTGCACTGTCTCGTCTGCTATACTTGGTGAGACAAGTGCGTTCGACCCAGGGGTCTGCATATTGGAACTGGAGAATGATGCTGTATCAAGTGTCTATGACATGGCGGGAGATGACAAGAGGAAGATAGTCTACAACATAGGTATATATATGTAGTTGGGACTATCCAAACAATGAACAATAACGAAGGACAGAATGCCAAACTCTAACACTGCAGTCTGGGAATAGTTTTGGAGGTCAGTAAGTGATGTGGGGTCAATAATCTGAGTGCGGGAAACAATGTCTGAAGGTATAATTACAATGTCTGATCCAAAAGCATCAGGTCCAATGTTTTCAGGTTTTCGGGTTTGGGTTCAGGTTATTGGAAACTAATAGTGACATGATAGTGAGCATTGGGAAAGCGAGTGGTATGCACAATAATAACAACAATGATGGATATGGACAGTGAAGGAACAATGATATTCACAATGTCAACTAAGAAACTACGAGACATCAGGTTTGACCCCTAAGTGTCAGAGAACAACTCTGCTCTACTCAGATGATGATGATGCTATAGGGGAGTCCAATATTTATGTAGATCATAGAAATCTGGAACCCTATAGGTAACAGTAGTAGCACAATATTTCAGATCTGATGCCCTATGTAATAAGACATGATGTACTGTAGGACTATGGGAATACATGTAATAATGTGGTTGACAATGTTAGGGATGTGAAAATAAGCAACTATGCACCTAGTGGGGCTAGCAAAATGAGACTGGACATAGATAGGATGAGTGCGTGCGATATCTGATAGTCCAATGCAAAACCCGATGTGATGTCCAATGTCTCATGTCCCATGTGAAACCTGATGTGATGTCTGATATCTGATGTTTTCAGGTTTGGTACATATTGAGTTGGATATGATAGGAATGATTTGAGTAATGATTAGCATGTCAACATGCATTAGAAAATAGACCTCTACGAGGCCACAGAGATGTCAGTCTCTACACCGCTAAGCATTGTTATTTCATGTTGATGTCACCTTGTGGTGTGGGTGCCATATTTGATACTTTGTTGAAGTTCTGACAAATCTGCTATTTCACCTTGATAGGATTAACCAGTTCTAGTGCTCTAACTAATGTTGAGCTTGGAACAAAGTCTGGGTCTAGCTTCTCACCTAAATCAATACATTATTGGTTAACAATGTGCTGGATGTTATCTAATGATAAGCTGGTGCCTGAGTGAGTTTTCTGTACTAGTACAGTGAATGCTACTGCTTTGACTTCATCTGCCAGTATGAATCAAGTGATGCCTGCTTTCCTCATCTCATCCAGGACCAGTGTAGAGACTTGTGCCTCTCATAGTGTGATATGGCAGTTTTCACTAGGGAGTACATGGCACAAACTTGCAGCATCATTCTGTGTGTGATCCACAGCTATTCCTATACAAGGTGCAGCTTCCCACACATTGTGCAATGTGCATGCGACTTCCTGTATTTCACAATGTATATGCACATGCGCTTTCCCACACTTGAGCACCCTATAGCGCCAGCCATCCAGACACATCCATCCACTGTCCACCAGGTTCTCTAGTGCATATAATTCCATTTCCCTTATTTGCATATTGTTCCACCTTTATTTTTATCATGGATCCTTACTTACATATATCTTCACATACCTTACTCGGTAGCACTTCAGCTCCACATGACAGCGCTTAGGCACCATATATATGCACCGGTGGTACATACTATTAGTTACTTTTGACTTTTGAACTTTTTGACTTTTTGAACCAACTTTCTGAATGACAGCAATACCCACTTTCTACCTAGCAGAGCACAGTTGAAATCTATTCATTTACACCTTGCATCTCTCATCTCTTATCTAGTATATAAACATCACTTAAGCAAACTCACTCTTACTCTCTCTCATTTCTGCATACATGCATGCACTTTCCTGCGCACGTTCCCATGCCTTCTCACCTCGCACTTTCCTGCGCTTTCTCATGCTTCACATTGGCTGACCAGTAGTGCTTTCAGTGCATACTTCTAGATCCTTGCTACACTTGCTTCCCCTTTAGGGTCAAACACACTTGTCTTCTCAAGTATAGCAGACTAGGCAATGCACAATCTTATAACATTTATAGATACAGTCTGGAGCCTTGTTCGTGCCTCACTGTATTGTTGAACCTTTACCAATGTAAAGAGTTGATTCCTGGTAGGCTATACAATAAGTGTTACCTTAAGACTCAGTATGCGAGTGAGATGTTTGTCCCAAAAGACTGCCTGTAGGATAATCTCTTGAGATAAAATGCAAGGGATATCTTATTAGGATCGAAGGTGAGAGAAGGAAAGGATACCTCAAGTAAAGGCAGAGGAAGACTGCCATAGTTAGAAAGACACTAGGATTTACATGAAGGACAAGGAAGACATCTACTAGTTGTCTAGATCCAGGAAAGCAATGATGTGATCCGAACCCTAGAAGAGAGGTTGTCAGATTAGGACAGAAAGTCACAGGGTTGGCTGACGAGAAAGGCAATCATATAGACTTATATTGACACGAACCAGAAAGAGATACCAGTTTGAAAACTGGTTATCAAAATTCAAGAACCCTAGAAGAGAGGTGGATTGTCACAGGCAGTTGCAACAGGTGTGCTGCACATAGACTTGAAACTGAATTGAAGAAAAGAAGACCAGTTTCAAACCTGGTTATCAAAATTGCAACCTTACCGATTATGACCACCAATAAGCAGTCTACAATCTGCTTCAAATTAAAATTGAACCTCACCACCGACCGCTACCCAGTCAAATCTGGATTAAAAAAATTAGATCAAAACTGGACCAATTGAGTTATTCCCTCTGACACATGGAGTAGTAATTCTTGATAGACATAGGGATTAGAAACCAGAACCAAAACTGATGACAAAGACAGAACTGGAGAAGAAAACCAATGAAAAACAGTAATGTCTGATCAGTATCTGATTAGATCAGACCTCAAAATCATGTGACAGAGTATTGGCAAAGTAACCTGAGAATAAGGCTGAAAGCGACTTTAGTTGACTTGGAGGAAATTTGAAAATGATTGAGAAAGGACAGCAGAATAAAACTGCAGGACAAATTGACTACAGGCACCCAAGACAGGAAGTGCCTACTGAACCAGAAGAAAACTGATGACAAATTGAAACTTACAACATGGAAACACGAACTTTATGATACATGCAAATTTTTTTCGACTTTTGGACTTATGACAGGGTTACAGTGTTGAGGGCGACACACTCCCTTTTCAGGTGGAAAGAAGAGTGGTATAGAGGTACTGTCACGAGTTCCAAATACAATTCACTATTCATTTCTAAACTCTAAGTCCTTCAAGCGCCCAGTCACAGTGCCTGTTCCTAAGAATATGTTTACTGTAGAAGAAGTTCCTATTATTGCGTTTATTGTAGAATTACCAGAATCATGTGACTTATTAGAAGATGCCGAACTTGATGACATCACATCATGTGATACTCTTGGAATGTTCCAGAGTCTTACTGTGGCTGCGGCACATGTCATGACATCATAGTTATATATAGAATTGTATGATACCTCTAATTATTCTGATTGGTTAGTTCATACTCAGTTTCAATCTCAGTTTCAATACATGTATATAGGTAGCTTGACGTAGTCAGTAGTTCTTTGGTTCAAACCTCTTGTATCTCCAAGTGAGCAATCCAAGATGTACCTGCTGCCTATCTTCTCTTTGTGATTATCTTGTTGTTTGAGTCCTAGTCTCTGCCCTGTGTTAATTCGTTTAAGGGGTTGTGACAGGTACATGGTCTGAAGGACCATATATGTATAATGGAGTATGATGAGTCGAGTACATGGCCAGAGGAGTCACTACTTGCAACATATGAACTAAGTATGAGCGAAGAAGCTGTACTCATGCAGTGTAGACATTGTAGATATCATAGTTAAATTTTTTTACCTTACTTTAGTTTTTTTCTTTTTGACGGATTGTTTTTGTTGATTCTGAAAGAACAACAAGGTTAGAAAGGGAGTAATGTTATGATTCATCAGCTTACCCTTCACTTCTTCACCATTTCACATCTTTACTTTGTCACCTTTTCACATTTCACTTATTCACAGAACTTCACAGAACATTCTACCTAATTCTATTGACATCACATTGTATGACTCTTACTATGATTATTCCCATTGGACAATTACCATTACAGCTCCGCTTGTATATTGGAGCTCCGCTTCAACTCTTACTTATATAGTTAGTAGTTACACTGTATGTTTCTCTATCTTGACCTTAGCAATCTACTCTTGTAAATCTACTGCTTGTAGTCTGAAAATCTCCTACATCAGCAAACTACCAATTTCATCACAGGTTTCACAAGGTGCCACAAGACACCACAGGTCCTATAAACTTCACAGACACATAATTAAATACCACACCACTTATAGTGTCTACTATCCATAACCTACTATATGTTGTTGTAATTACTGAAAATATAGTTGAAATATATATTAATCTTTACTGTACAAGATCTATTGACTCTGAATGAAAATTAAATAGGATATATATTTAGTAAATTAGTGTATGATTCTATTGCAACTATCTGAAGCTACTGTAGTCTTATTTATGTAGTAGTAAATAGAATGGTAGTGTTGTAGTGATAATTGACTAGACTGACTTGGTAGAATTTTCGCATTTTGGTCATGTGACATTTCTTTGGTATATATTGCTATTATTAATGAGATTTATCAGTGGTCTTGTGGCTTAGTAGTTATTATGCTGCACTTCTAATTGCTGAGGTCTTGGGTTCAATTCCTACCAAATGCAGATTATGATGTGTGAATCACATCACCTGATGTGACATGTAACATTGTCTGGTGACACTTCTTTGGCCTTTGTGGTTAAAAATCCACAAGCCCACAAGCTTTACAAGGAGACCTTGTAGGGCTTGTACAAGTCTGTACAGCGGGGATTTAGCTGTGGGCTTGTGAGGCTTATACAAGCTTGTACAAATGTGTACAAGGCCTCAGTAGTTTACTGATGTAGGTGAATATCAAAACACTCCTGAAATAGTAATCAGGCCCATGTGCTACTTATCAATCTAGAAGTGGTGTATGGCAACCTCTTGCTCAGGGTTTGATAAGAACTCTAGGATTCTCTTGCATTGACCTTGAGAATATTGATTAGTGAGCACTAAAGTGAGTTGGCTTATTAAATGTACCTGTGATAGGTGTGTCAGTATTGGTGGCTTCATGTAAGAGGCTATCCAAACAATCTAATTGCTCTGATAATGAGCTGGTAATAGCTGGAGTTGTGCAAAGTGTATTCCTCTGAATTTCTTTTACTCCACACAAGGGAGGTTTAGTATCTGGTTGAGCAGTAAAATTGTGTTTTGCTAGTGAATCTTCCCCTCTTTTGCCAGGAAATGGTATTCACCCAGGGTTTGTATTCAGGCTTGATGGCCTTTGCTTGGTGCAAGGAGTGGCTTTGTACTTCCCTTGAATATAACAGGAGGACTGTCGATGACAACTCTCATCGACATGTTGCTATCTGAAGTTTGCAAAATGAATGAGGTCAAGAAGCCACAACATAACCTCATGGCCCATCTAGTTACAGGAAGTGAGCTTAGCTAATGATATCTTATGTGGCAGTTACTGTGTGGTTTGATCTCATTGATATTAGATAGTGAATATTTGTTTTGACTGGGTCACCAGGAATGAATATATTACTTGAGGCAGAAGAACCAACAAGAAACTCAAGTTTGAGTGTGCATTTGAAAAATCAAGGTGTATTCAAATTTCACTACATTTATTCTCCTAGATTGACAACAGTCCATGAAACTGATGGGATTAGTACCCACAAAGATAAGGCTATGTGTAGCAGATAGCTCAGCAACATATGAAGTCAACTAGTTACATTAGTATACCTGTAGCAGATAGCTACAGACTATGTTAGTTACATAGGTGCTAGATACAAAGATGGTACTAACCTTAGCAACATATGAAGTCAACTGAGGGTAGCTACAAGATGCAGGAAAAATAAAAATATATAGGTACTTAGTAATCATTCAGTACCAAAGGTCCATAGTGAGGGTTTGATTAGTGCTGCCATAGTCCGGTTTGGTCTGGTTCATAGAGGGTTCAGCGAGAACCGAGAACCTAACCTAGGTCCGGTTCTACTAGACTCGCCGAACCTCAAACTGGACCTTTGCGAATGATTTGAAATGGTCAGGTCCGGTTTTTTTTGGTTTGAACACAAACCAAACGCAAAGAAAATTACAGCTAGGCAAAAAAAAACATAGTCGATACTGGTAGTTACATCTCCAATGAAGCCACATGTCCCTCAGCCTCTACTGCTGCACAAAGGTGCCCATTCCTGTATGCTCCCTTCACACATACTACAGTGACCTATCTCCGTATAATACGAGGGAACGGACGTGCATAATATCCCGTATGATACGGGCCAGCGGACCATGGGCCCATGATAAAAATATTCTCGACTATGACGGATGGGCCGGGAGGCAAATTATTCCCGATGGAGGCGGGTGGGCCCATGCAGGGAATATATAGAGTAGATGAGTGGGCCGATGTAAATGAATATTAGGTAGACGGGTGGGCCGAGGTAGCTGGATATTATGCAGATGGGTGTATTAAGGTAGATGTGTATGAGATAGATGGGTAGGTACTTGTTATCACATTCACGGGTGGGCCCAGACACATATTAAATTAGACGGGTGGGCCGAGGGTATTATAAAATATTGTATTATACGGGTGGGCCCAGACGCATATTAATTAGACCGGTGGGCCGAGGGTGTTGTATGGGATGTTGTATTAGACCGGTGGGCCGAGGGTGGTATACAATATAGATGGGTGGGCCCATGTGTATCATAATTGTAGACATGATGGAGCTGAGGTAGTTGTACATCAACCAAATCAGAGGAGGTAATAAATCAAAGTTACCAAGTTCCCGGAGCATCAGGTGATCTCCTGACATGGCAGTGCGAAGCTTGTGTTGCCCAACGAGACGCCAAGTTCCGGCCACCAGAATTTGAGTCAACTGTACCGAGTTCCGAGTTCCGGGACCCGGAACTCACCACATAAGTTGGTTAATACTTTTTGATGGTGCACAGGTTGTCTTGCAGAATGTGGAATCCGGGGTGCGAAGCTTGTGTTGCCCTACGAGAAGCCAAGTTCCGACCACCAGAATTGGAGTCAACTGTACCGAGTTCCGGGACCCGGAACTCAACACATAATTTAGTTAATACTTTCCGTGTTAAATGGCCAACCGAAGTTCAGATGTTTCTGAAGAGAGCAGCAGGTGCTCTCTTGACATGGCCTCTGATGGTGCTTAGGTTGTCTTGCAGAATATGGAATCCGCGGTGCGAAGCTTGTGTTGCCCTATGAGAAGCCAAGTTCCGACCGCCAAAATGTGAGTCAACCGTACTCAGAGGAGGTAATAAATCAAAGTTACCGAGTTCCCGGAGCAGCAGGTGATCTCCTGACATGGCTGTGCGAAGCTTGTGTTGCCCTACGAGACTCCAAATTCCGACCACCCAAATATGGGTCAACCGTACCGACCTCCGAGTTCCGGGACCCGGGAGTCGACAAATGAATATCTGATGACCAGCGAGTCAACCTTACTCAGAGGAGGTAATAAATCAAAGTTACCGAGTTCCCGGAGCAGCAGGTGATCTCCTGACATGGCTGTGCGAAGCTTGTGTTGCCCTACGAGACTCCAAATTCCGACCACCCAAATATGGGTCAACTGTACCGACCTCCGAGTTCCGGGACCCGGGAGTCGACAAATGAATATCTGATGACCAGCGAGTCAACCTTACTCAGAGGAGGTAATAAATCACAGTTACCGAGTTCCCGGAGCAGCAGGTGATCTCCTGATATGGCAGTACGAAGCTTGTGTTGCCCTATGAGACGCCAAATTCCGACCACTCAAATATGGGTCAACCGTACCGACTTCCGAGTACCGGGACCCGGGAGTCGACAAATGAATATCTGATGACCAGCACACTTCCAATCAGGTAGTATTTCATTGAGCAATGGATAATAATACATCTTTGACAGCGGCCAAAATTATCCATCGCTCCCTTATCTGATCCTCTCTATCTCCACCCCCTATAACACCAAAGTCCGGACATCCAGCATTCAGCGTCTGATTTCCCAAGATTAACATCCAGCATGAACGGTTCTTCCCCTTCCCCTCCTGATAGCATAAACATCTGGCGCACTTGGGCCCTGACTGTGACTTATGAAGCAGGGGAATATACCGAACAGAAATTCAAGGCAGAGAAGACTGGAGGAGGCCCAGTCATACCTTCCCCCAACCTAGACACTGATCTGGTGATGGCGTGCGATCGCTTGGCTGATGTACTCATAAAGGCATCTAAAAATCCCAGTGGGTCTTCCTGCAGATTCGGAAAATTCTATTTATCATTCAAATTCCTGCATGACAGTTCAGATGCAGATGGATATTGCAAGATATAGCAAATTGATCTCCCCGAAGGACACCGGGCATAATGAACATAAAGAGGCGAGGTTGCTTGAGAGGTGTCCTCCTGGCCATGAAGGCAAAAGGTTGGTCGATGAACCTGCAATAATTCTTGATGCATCCGGTGCCATCATTGCATGGTATCTCCCAGACGCCCTGACAGACACCACCCAGGTGTGTAATATACATTGTTACTCGATGGATATCGAATATTAATGGAACCTACAGAAGGAAATCAGGGAGGCCACCTATTTGCTCTCTCCAAGCCTCGAAAAAAGTGTAAGGGCTGATGGCAATTGGCGAACTAATCAAAGGTTGTTCAACCGGGGCTCGGAAGATGTTGGAGCAACTCCCGGATGCATCAATCTATCTCCGGCATGGTTTCAACAGGGACACGAGGTAGGATCTGATGAGATGGTGATTCCGGCAGTCATACTTACCAATCCCAAAGAATGTGTCCGATCCGGAGGTATCTGCATCATTGAAGGGACCTTCCTGCGAGAATATCCTCAAAGCCATTGCAAGGCCAGCAGCCATCGCGTCCGCGGCACTCAGAGTCATGCATCCTGAGCAGTACTGGGCAGGGTTGAGAACCTTGTCAAACCTTGGAAATATAGCAGTAAGCAAGGATCTGCCACAGATGCCGGAGGCCCTGCAGTACTGGGCATCCGTGTTTAACACCCTCTCCATTATTTCCAATCGGGAAACCCCCCATCATCGAGACCACATGTCCATTGCTGAATGCTTCGACATTCTCACCACCGTGGGGGACTATTCTAATGCTCGGATGACAATGCCAAACCTTCAGCTGGAGTTCAAGTACAATTCTGGCTGTATGATTGCGTTTTCCGGAAAGATTGTGAGACATGGAGTGTATGATGTGGAAGGGGATCGGATTGCTTGGGCATGGTATATGAGGGATGCTGTTCATATTTATGCTGGTGTTCCATCATGTGGATGGGCTAGTGTGGATGGTCCATACAGTGTGTGAAAGATCAAACAAAGAGCAAGCATTGTGACCTATATACATTCCAACAAATGAATACCATGTACCAATTGTGATCCGGACCTCAATACTCAATTTTGAGCATTTCCCAAGTGATATGTGGGACTAAATAATTTGGATGCAAGCCTCGGTATTCGATAATTGGAACTCGGGACTTGACATATGGGAGTCCTGAGTGCCGGGGTACTTAGTCCCGACACCCGGACCTCAGCAAGTGATATTTGAGACTGGGGGAAGATGTATAAATACGCTCGAATTAACATTTGTTATTGCCATACACATTTAACAAAACCCTGAACCCCGACATTGTGGACTCCGGACTCGACACTGTTCTGAATACCGAGTTCCAGACGCCCAGGTCCCGAGTCCCGAATTTCGGAGGTCGGGGCTCGGAGACCCGGAGCTCGGCAACTGTGTTGGGTGTCAGGGTATCCAGACCATTGGAGATAGCATGTGTCAGTATTTTGCGTTTCATGGTTTATGTTGGGTGAATATGGAATTGGGGATCAGGGACTCGGTATTCAGAACAGTGTCAAGTCCCAGGTCACGAGCTCCAAGTCCCGAGTGCCGAACCCCGAGTCCCGAGTCCCGAATTTCGGAGGTCGGGGTTCGGCGACCCGGAGCTCGGCAACTGCTGGGTGTGGGTTTCGGGACTCGGGACTCAGAGCTCATGACCTGGGACTCAACACTGTTCTGAATACCGAGTCCCTGATCCCCAATTCCATATTCACCCAACATAAACCATGAAACTGCAAAATACTGACACATGCTATCTCCAATGGTCTGGATACCCTGACACCCAACACAGTTGCTGAGCTCCGGGTCTCCGAGCCCCGACCTCCGAAATTCGGGACTCGGGACTCGGGGTTCGGTACTCGGGACTCGGAGCTCGTGACCTGGGACTTGACACTGTTCTGAATACCGAGTCCCTGATCCCCAATTCCATATTCACCCAACATAAACCATGAAACGCAAAATACTGACACATGCTATCTCCAATGGTCTGGATACCCTGACACCCAACACAGTTGCCGAGCTCCGGGTCTCCGACCTCCGACCTCCGAAATTCGGGACTCGGGACCTGGGCGTCCGGGACTCAAATGTGAGATTTTTGAATGCATAGAATATGTTACATCTTGTATACAATGAAGAGTGAATGGGACTACACTCCTTTGCCTTTCCTCAATTTCTCTAACATGTCAGTGTACATCTTCACCTCTCCCATCTTAGCTTCGATGCCCTGATCTTGCTCCTCCAGCAATGCTTCCATGCGTTCTTTGATGAATCTCAGTCCCATGAGTGGTGGAGTCGAAGTGTTTTTCAACTTCTCTGGAAGTACCAAAGCATCATCCTCAACATTAAGCTGAAACAGATAAGTCATCAATCAAGGTAATTCAGCTGACATCTTACCGCCCAATACTGGTAGTGAGAGACGCAGGAAGCCATTATTTCATCCCACTGCCATGGTTGATCAGGGATTGTGGTGTTTCCCATCCACCATGGACATGTATATGCGAACACAATCCGGGACGGATGTCCTGCAATTGGCTCATCATGAAATGAAAGGAGGTGGAATGAAAAGACGTCGTCCGGAACAGTGTTCCAGGTCAGCATGGGATACAACTTAAGGATATAAGCAACAGGGACCAGAAGAACCGACACGATATTCTGTGAAGCGGAGTACTGCAGGAGTGGTGTGACAAATGTCTGCTCAAATTCTTAGCATTGACCAACAAAGTCATCAGGGCAGTGGTGACATACATTCATCTCCCATTGCAGCCCGGCTTTAAAATACTTGATCCGGTCAGCAGATAGACCATTGTTGGCAGCTTCCGTCCGATATTGAGAGATGATTGCACGGACGCGCGATCCAGCCATTGCCAATGTGCAGGAAATAGTTGCAAGGCTCAGCTTCAGAGGTCGGTAATGGCTTCCGGGATTCAGAGTGCCAGAAGTGGATGCATGAGATGCAGACATGGCTAATACAGGACTATGGCGCTGGCAATACAAGTGAAAGATGGTCAAGATGTGAAGATAAGAATCACTGATGGATGGATACAAAATTCAAACTCTGACATGGGCTGACCCGGACAATTCCCGGGCGTCAATTATGTATGTGGAAAAAGGGACTTCATGAGAAAACAATGTTCATTCATCTCCAGCCTCTATCAACACGTTTTGTAGGTCTTGAAAAGCTGCCTGCGCATCCTGTGCCAGCAATGAATACATGTGGGATTGCCTTCCGGCGTAGCATCCATGACCCGGAAGTCGTTTCTCCAATGATTCCTGCATGTGCTCGCCCCATATGGTTGTTTTCCACAAAAAGAACTTACATGTCCAATCCATCTCGAATGTGACCAATAGCATTTCTTCCCTCCATCGATCCCATAGTGCCTTTGCCCTCAGCCAATGGACTCGGTAAACTTGGCATGGGTCCAGTCAGGTAACCGCGGGATATGACATGCAAGCGGGAACTCACATTCTTCATTCCACGATTGATCCCCGAGGTCGACTTCAACAGACCAAAACCAAGCCAAAGATTCATTTCGTTGACCTCGGGCATTTGGGTCGCCCACTGCAGTGCTGATTTTGAGTTGCTCGCGAAGCAGGGGTTTGTATTTCTGAAGCTGGTCTTGCCCCGGCTCAAGTTTCATCATTTGCTTCCTTGTCTTTGTATATATGCTGGCATGGAGGGAGACTGCCTGCTGCACCAACGTTACCTGGGACCAAGCTCGAGTTTTCAGGGCCTGGGAATTGGCCTGCCTAACGGTTGTTCGGAACAGGATGGCCTTGTTGCAAAGGTAAATGCGGAGATTGTGAAGGGCATCATTGGCCTGCCCTTCACCAAGCGACATCTCCAGGGGAATCAGATCCTCTGCCATGCATCGTCTGCATCTGTCAACCCCCAGGTTTGATGGCAATGGGATTACAGTTAGCTCGGGAGAGTTTGTCCATGTGTGAGATGTCTCTGTGAAATCCGCCAGGTCATCATCGAGATCATCTAGAATGTCTACGTCCAAGTCTTCAGGTTCATCATCTGCATCAAATCCCTCCCCGAGATGTGTTAGAGCAGACCGAGCAAATCCATCTATCTGGCCTTGGAGCCGATCTCTTTGACGGGCAATGTCTAATCTCTGTGTCTCTGTGGATCTTCTTCCGATCCTTCGGACCTCGATGAGCAATGCAATCTGAGCCTCTTCAATTGCTAACCCTGTTGATATCCATGTCACCACAGATCTGCGAGAGGGTGCTGCATTGCGGGCGTTACCCTCCTCTAACAATCTAAGCTCGATCTCCTTTTTGCTAGGTGCTGAGTGCAATATTAATTCAGTCCTCGACGGAGACAATGGAATTCAACATACCCTTTTTGATATTGATCTCATATTCATCCATGGCTGAAGGATCATTCAATCTGCTTGACTGAGCTATCCTCTCCCTGGCTAACCATTCTGTCTTCAAATGTGAGGGTGCTGCTTCATCGAGTCTGTCAAATGCCTTTCCACTTTCTAAGATACCATTCCTAGCCAGTTTGTATTTCCGGCATAGAGTCCTTTTCATGCGAATCATCTTGCAGAAATTGGAGTCATTCATCTGATAATCAAGGCATTCCTTTCGGTGGGGAGATGACATTCCCCGAGCAGCAGGGGAGATCAAATTGAGCCGTGCCCATAGCGTCTCCATGATCTCTCCATCGATCCGACCAATGCCTTCAATAAAGTTAGAAGCATATCAGACATAGCAGCTGTCCTGATGGCCATGAACGTGCCACAACCCAATTCCGGGAATGATGGTTAGTTGTGGTGCCATTTCTAGAAATCGACTTCGATCCACCCGAACCCGAAAGTGTTTGTTGTATTGACAATTAATATCATAGAAGGTGACAGCCCTGGTGATGCCTTCCATGTTGTGCCGGGAAGCCTCGCAAAGGGCGTAGTCCATGTTCATTTGTCTGCAAGTGACCCATGGTTAACTCGTGAATGGGGAATGGTGGATGTGGCTTGCCTTTCGCCTTTCTGAAAATCCACCATGGAGTGAGGGACAAAGCAACCGTGTCTGGCACAGGCAACTCCCCCGATACCGGTGGACTCCAGCTTGTGCCGAGCAGCATTAGCTTGATTTACTGCCCGGTGATTGTTGCAGCTTGATTTTTCCACTGTGTCAGCAGCCTCTGCCAGGTGCATTTTATACCTGTCCTTTCCTACCATGAATCCAAGCCCATCGGACAGCCAAACTTCATCGAATGGCTTAATGGGATGCAGATGTTCGGCTTTGAAATTTCCGTCCATCACAAATGACCGGGTGTATTTCCAGCTTGGATCCCTAGTATTATTATGGAGGCCACATAGGTTGAGAATAGGACTCACTCATCAAGAGATTCATCCTCTGACAACAGCACATTAATCCCAGGCTGAGGACATGCCGGGCAAAATAATGCAAGTTCTCCTGTGCTCGGGTTATCAGAACGATGGCCAAAGCCATGCCATTTCATTGTCTTCAACTGCCTCCACTGTCGAGCGACCCTCATGAGCTCTCTGTATCGGTCCTTGCAATGTGCTTTGTCAATATGATGTCCAGTAGATCATGAGGGTAAGGCATTACCGGAACAAGGTGTGGAAACATGCTGGAGGTCATTCGCCGGAGCTTGCTGTAATAGTTCATCGCCGAGGTGCCGCATTCAAGGCTGTCCAGTAGAAAATCATTGAGCACTCTGAAGGTGAACACAGTCTTTGGCCTGTTAAAAGATGCAGGGAAAAATCTGTGTCGAAACATTTGAATGTCCGGACTCATGGCATTCGGACATTCACAGCATCGAACCTCCAGGCGATGAACTCCGGACTTGTCCACGATGACCATGGTGTTTTCCTTTGGCTGGAACTCGGGTCCGGACACAAATGGCAGATCTTCAGGCTCGAGCAGGTCTTCGGGTTCATCTTCTTCAAACAAATCCCACCGATTGGTGACCGCCGGACATTGTTTGCCATCATGGCCAAGGTATATAATGAGTCCCACATGAGCTAGACAACTCCGCTCGAAGAATCGCCCATTCCATTGACTGATCCAGTGGAAAGGATTGCTACAATGTTGACTCCTGCAACAGCCCGTGCAATAGAGTGGCTCGCCAAGACAATCTTGACATTTGTACACCCCATCCTGTTGGCAGATGATGCATCTCCTGTCTTCAGGTGGAGCTTCTCGATTGAGGAGGTGATGTAGATATGATTCCTGCCTTGGCAGCCATTGCCTGAGGTAGTCATTTTGACTCTGTATTTTGAATGCTTAGCCATAGTTTGAATGACACTCCAACATTGTACATGAACTTGCCATGGTTTTTGGGAGCTGCAAAGGCTCAAATGAGCCTTGGTCCTGCTCGTAAGTATTGTCAGGAAAGTCTTCCCAAGGAGGCGGTGCCTCAACAGGCTGAATTGTTGGTGATTCCGGGGGAGAGTTAGGCATGGACCTGTAGGCATGTCGCCTCGTGCTTGCAAGTGGGACCTTGACCCAAGTCTTCCTACCTTTGCTGCCCCTTGCTTCCACCCTGTGAGATTTTTGCACTGGGGTGCATCTACCTATCTTCATCTTGTTTATTAATGTTGCAAGCAAGGCATCAGCTCAGGTGTAATGAATTGTTATTGCAATATGATGCGGTGCAGTCCTGTTGGCTTATTACAAATTCATTTCCATTAATGGCTCAGGGTCCAATATGGGCCGATTAACCTATCATTAGGCTTTGCTCAAAGTTCAACTTCGCACAATTCATTAATACTTTCACCTTGAAAATCCTTAGCCATTTCTGCATTTTGATTCACTATGGCAAGAACAGGTCATTCCACCAACACGACTTCCGGAAGACACAGGATGCGTCAACCACAGTCTCAGAAGCTCACGGACAAGGAGATTTTGGAGTTGAAGAACTACCTTCCTGAGTGGACTGCTGCCAAAAGGAGTGAGAAGCGAGCGATTTTCACTGCCATAGCAAGGGCGGCCAGGTTGTTTGCTCCGAAGTTGGACCAAAAACAATGGAAAAAGAGGAAGCAGGTGAGGCTTCTTTGTTGCATTGAAAAACTAAATTTTTAACGTCACATTCTTTCATCAACTCTTAGGTGTACAAGACTTGGTTGTTCAACAACAAGAAAAAGAAGGAAAGGAAGGACATGATCAAGTATGGGAGGAAATGGACTCCCAGGATGGTGGTCTACCAGCAAAAACGCGAAGAGGTGCTGAAGAGGATTGAGGACGAGTCCGGGGTAAAGCCAGGAGATCCTGGTATGTTCAAACATTATCAGGCTGCGGTGAAGAGAGTCATGGCTGAATTGGACGACAACGAGTTGGAGAAGGCTAAAGAAACAGCCGAAGAGTGGTCCAACAACTGTCCGCCTCCGGAGATACAAGCACAAGTGGCTCGTAAGAAGGGTCCGGCATATATGGAGCACTTTTCAAATGAGATGTGGAGGCAATGTGGGATGAGAGTGTTTGTGATGTCAGCTTGGAAGAATGAAAAGGGCGAGGTGCTGTTCGGGATGTGAGTACATTTATCCATAGATGGAGATTTTTCGTCTCAAAATATTCATGCAGGCATGATGATAATGAGGCCTTAGGAGATGGGGACAGCTTCATGAAGACGAAGGACTGGGAGGACATTGAGCCAGTGTGGCAGGAGTACGCGCAGGAACAGTTCGGTGAGTGTGTGAACCATGTATACCAGATTGAACATATTGAGCATCACAATGATAGGCGCCGGGGCACGGGATGGAGGACGTCAGGTCAAGGGAGGTCGAAAATGAATTCGAAAACCAGCCTTCGAACTCGAAATGGACGGGGAGGGTATGCCACTCCTTCCGGACATCACCGACACCAAACTTGAGGAGAAGAAGGCCATAGTAAGGGCCTTTCTTACATCGCACTATCGTGAGTTTGTCGTCGCATCACCTGACAAATTGTTCAATGCATGGACAAAGGGATATGCTCCGGGAAGGACAAGGCGGTTGTGCCATGGAGTGCCATTGTACAAAGTCAGGATGACTTCGTGGCCCGGACGTATCTTCCGGCGGATGTTGACTTGAAGGAACCTTCGAAGCTGCAAATTTGGGACACCACTACCTTGCTCCAGTTTTGGCTCGCTCGGCAAGAAACAGGTGAAGGGCCACATTTCTGTTCAAAGCATGGAAGAACAAAGATGGGGACATGGTACCATCTGTCATATCTGGCAACTCGCCCTCTCCTCAGACTCGTGTAGTGAGAAGGCAACAGAGGGTTACCATCCGAAGGCCTCGAGAGTCATCGACAGAAGCCGAGAGTGATAAGGAGAGTGCCACTCATCATACGGAGCATAATGTGGATGATGACCTGGCTGATGGGAGACCTCCGCTGAAGAAGCCCAGGACGGGAGGTCCTACACCCAGAGGGCCGGCAGTCCCACGTCCAATTCCAAAGCCTCGCCCGGCCAAGCCGGCCAAAAAAGGTGCATTACTGACATCACGAATGGGAGACCTCCTCGCTGGGTTAACTGACAATGCGACGGGCGAGGTTAGAGATGATGTCGAAATGGAAGAGAGTATCACACCGCCGGCACAGAAAAGGAGGAGGGGCACTCGAGTCACTGTTGAACCATCCACGAGGACGACCCGGAGTAAGTTGCAAATGCCAGTAGACAGTACACCTAGAGTAACCAGAGCACGGGGACGCACTTAATGTACATATTGTTACAGTCACTACGAGAGCCCCCAGCTACTCGACCAGCCCTCTGCCACCCTGCACGGCAACAGCACGATAACCGGGCCTTTAGGCCTTGATGATAGATGATGAATAGAAGAGAAGTCCGGAAGATGCCGGATTAGGTAAGCGATCTGGATCGCTTACATGATATGACGACATAGGTCTAGAAGACCTATGTATGTTATCAAGATAGAAGGCAAGCCTCGTGTTGCCTCATGTACTGATAGAAGCCTGCCTCATGCATGGTATCTCTGACTCGATAGATAAGCAGATTAGAACCCAGCTTCAAGCTGAGCTTAGATACGATAGAGTAGCCTTATATAAGGTCGACGATTAAAGTAGATGTTCCTTACTTTAATCCTACTGGGTTTTGCCTCGAAACCTTTGTCTTGCTAAAGCTACCTGCTTGACATCAGATCCGCACCTTCAGAAGGACTTGAGACCCCTTCTGCCTGTAACCGCTATCATCGCTCACCTCCGCAAGCGTACGCAACTCCTACTCTTCTGTAGGAGCCGACCTTGGACTCTCAGCACGAGGTATCACTGTCGTGATCGTCGCTGTTAGATCATCCCAGTTCGCACGCGACTTACCGTCGTAACAAAGGATTAAAGTCCCCTCATCGTACGCCTCCATCACAGGCTACGAGATAACTGATCGCACTTGCTGTCAACGTTACCGACACTCGTAGAACCCCGAACCTAGATCCCGAAAGGATTTTCATATCCCTGATTTAGAACCCTGATCGTACCGGCCTGACCAGTCGCAAGAATATAAGAACCGCTGTCACTGTGGAAAGCTCCAAGAAAAGGATACCACGAAGATCGTAGAAACCATCTCCAATATGGCAACTACCAGAAACACCTTCGCCGCTGCGCACCTCACCAGGAAGGAGACTCGCCTCTGTCTGCGAGAGAAGAAATGTTTTGTGTGCCATGTCATCAGACACAAAGCCGCGAGCTGTCCTCAA